AGCGCGCACGCGTGTGCGTTCGTGTGCGCGCGATTCAATAGAGAAAATGAAACGGTTCGCGAATGGCCGTTCCCCGACTCACGATCCGTTCACCGCGACGATCGAGTCACGACTGAGGATGCAGAAATTCTTTTGGAACACCACGCGACTCTTCGGCCATGTTCGACTGCTCTCGGTGAATCTCGGATTCGCTTCGGTGCTGGTTTTATGCCGTTCTCGCGACTCGCGCGAGTCGTCGCGTCGCGTCGCGCCGGTTCTCTCGGTTGTACGATTCAGGATTCTCTTTTCTCTGCAATATGCGCGCATTTTTACCTTTTCTCCCTTTATTTCACTTTTATTTTTACACCAATTGTTAACTCGCTATTATGTTACTTTCCTAATATCAACAATTATTTTCTGGAAGCACAGTAAACGTTCATTTTCGTCTTTTAATTCGCTTGTATTAGGTATACATGTTAAAATATGATTTTGTATAATCCCATTGCGAAGAAAAATATCGAAACGATAACTAAATAAAGTTTCGTTTAAAAAACGCGTAAATTTATTGAAAATTTCACTGCCACGAGAAGAAAACGTTGTCTCTGTTGCCAAGGCTAAAATTATGCGTCGATTGTTAAGTTATCAGCAACGATTTTTTACATTATAAAATCGCTTCCTTTTCCGGCGTTATAAACACAGTTTTAATTGCCGTTTATGATACGTTTCGATAACGCAACTGTACGTATATGTAGTGGCAACGGCACAACTTTCCTGCGTAGAATTCTCTAACGGTCTTCTCTCGTACGATTCGTTCGATTATATTGCGTAGATATTACACGTACATATATATATGACGAGTAACACGATTGTAACTATACATAATAAAGAATTAGACAGGAGAGCGTGGTTATGTAGGGAAAAGAAAGAGAAAGTTTTTCGCGCGTAACAGGTAGTGAAAATAATTTGGAAAATTATAATGATAAAATGAGAACGTTGACGACTATACGAGAATGAACGATTACGAACGAATACGGTGTTTATAGAGGAAGTGGTGGGTGCAACTGATCAAACGATCGTAAACTTCCTTTTGTAAACAGCCGGAAATCTAACAAAAGTACCAATATAAACGTATACGCATACGTGTATGCACGCAATCACATCAGTTTCGCGTTGCTCGATTAACTCCGTTTCAACGAAATAAATCCAAGGTGGCATCGATCGATTTCAACGATCGATAAATCGATTGAGAAAGCAATTATTTTCTAAATAGATTCCAAATGGATTCGAAACGTACAGCCGTTTATTTATATTAAATTTGACACGATGCGATGGAATTAAAATCGGTATAATCGTTTATCAAACTTAGCATTGTTCGTTACGGCATGAAATTTCGAGACCATCCGTTCCGGTGATATCGCTCCATGTTGTTAAGCCAGTTTGTATATCGAACGTTTGCCCGGTACGTAAGCGATATTCTAGCAGATCCATTAGTATCTCACAGCGCGACCTGTTAAAAAACTCGCCTATCGTTTCGTGAACGCGTATAGAAGGCTGCGTTTGCAATACGTGTCTGTAAAAGAAAAAAACAATTTGAACGATGAAACATACGCTACTCGAGCAAACTAAGGGACCAAAAATGTTTAAGGTTCTTCGAAGAGTTGTATCTATGTGAAAAATGGTCGTATCCAGGTGGAACAAAAAGTATTTTCAAGCTCCAGTGTTGTATCATTTCAAGATTTGTCGGCAGAGAATACTTGTAATAACGGATTAACAAACTTTTTCTTTTCTTTGAATACGCCCACGGATTCTGATTAATTTTTCACGATTAAACTCGTTTACATTTAATTTGTTTTCTTTAATCATCGATATCTCGGTAACCAATAATTGCACGGTAAATTCAAGAACAGTGTTTCAAGATACATATTAAGATATTAAGTTATTTCTTAGTAAATCTACTGGTAATTTATTTGCATTGATGGGAAACGAACGTAGAAACGAACGTTGATAGGAATTTTCCGTCCCGATTGATCAAAGTTTTCAAAAGGATTATAAAGAACCTAGATTTAGTTGAAACATCTTTGAACGTTTCTCAATATGGAGAGAAAATTTATCCACGAATTAGAGAAAGAGAACTAGAAGTTTAGTACTTTAAAGATGGTAGTGTACGCGCGGATAAACGACCGATAGCAGATATACCATGTCAGGGACGCGTACGACTTCGCACCGGACGATGCGAATATTTATCGTAAACTAGGAAAAAAAGGAAGAAGTAACGAAGCGAGCAGAGTTGGCGAGGAATAAAATCAATTACCTAAGTAAAATCGAGAGAAATCCTTTGATTTCTGGATGCCTCTTTAAATAAATTTCATTTTCGTATCTCTCGGTTGCCTTTCTCGAATTTAATTTTTTCTTCTGGTATTCGTTTAAAGCTCCGAGATCGTAGTTCAGCGTACCATGAGCTGGATCCTTCGGATGAAAGGCTTGACAGTTTCGTGGCAATTGATCCATCGAAAAGTATCCGTCGATCGATCGAAACTTCTACATGGGAACAGACGTACACGCGTGTACCTATTAAACGTACGACGAGGACTTCACGTTCGAGTTACGAATAAATTTGTATTAAAGAAGACTTTGAATTCTGGTCGCAAACGCTGCGCTGTAATTTTTTCCTATTACGTACTGAAGTCGTCGTCAAACAATAGAATATACCGATATATGTACGTACTACTTATGTATGTACGTACATACCAAACGATCGTCTCGGTGCCAGGATCTTATATTTTTCTCAAAAATGTCATCGTCGTTGAGCGTGGAACCGTAAGCCGCGACCGCATTCCACTATTTATAACTATGTATACATAAGAAAAATTCGACGCGACGACGCTAAAAAGTTGGACATGTTGAAAACACGAGAAACATGGCTCGAAATCCGTGGAATTCAGGCCTCATTGTCGTCCCGTACGAGAAAAACGATCGCTTTGATCGTACACACCTTCGCACCTTGACAAAATCTTCGAACGAACGCGACACGTTGAAAAGCAGGAAATTCCAGCGACAATAACAATTACGCAATAGGATTTCGTGGAAAATTATACACGATGTCCAATTGATTGTTCATCCTCCGTTTCAACCGAGATTCCATCGTCATATTCGCGGTACTCTTTCTTCTCCCGTTATCTGGTCGCGTGGCACACAATTACTATTACTTGCTCACACGAAATACGCTACGATGACGAAACGCCCGTCGCGATAGAAATACGCGTATACACCTACGTACGTATACGTATGTATATTAAATATATTGACGAAAGTTGGCATCGTGATCGAACTATTAGAAGATCGAGGCACGCGAACAATTTCTGAGCAACGATGCCGCGTTGTAATCGGGTTTCCCTCTAGAACGGACATGTAAAACATTATTTCGACCAATCACGGTGTTTCGTAACGACTCGTGAACATCGTGTGTCGCGATAGTTTGGGAACGCGCAGGGAAGTTATAACGATCCTAGATATCCGATTGTAAGAAAAATGGGAAAGGAGAGACAGTGAGAAATTGGGAGGACACGTGGGAGTGGGGTGTGGAGCAGACGAAAGAGCAGAAGAAAGGGAAAATGAGTAAGTCGGAAGAAGACGAGTGGGACAAAGAGTATTCGCGAAGAAGAAGGAGGAAAGGACAGAGAATGTTGCCGTGAAAAAAATTGAAAGGAAGGAAAATGAGGAGGAAGATGGCAGTGGTTAGTGCGCATTTAGTCGCGGTAACTTGGATACAATACCGATCTACAATACCGAAACGTTCCAAGTTTCGTAAATCGATGCAGAAATTTTCACTTTCGGAATTCGGACGAACCGGTCATCGGTACATTTGATCGTAATTTAGATTCAATCATACTCGTATGTTTACGGAGAGTATCTTGATATCGTTACTTTACGTGACACCTACTTTGGTACATTGTGCACCGATATATAACGTCGGAGAATCGAACGAAGAATTTCTACGAAAATGTTGTTTGCGCGATATCGACCTTATCGACGACCGTCAAAATCGATGCGATCCGGGGACGTTGAATCACACATCGATAGCGATGTTGTACCGTTCTTTCGGTAACACGTCCTACACGTTCTGCTGCTCGGTTTGCTCCGAAAGTGAGTAATTCTACGTTATTATACATATAACGATCGTTTTAATCTCTCTTTACGATTCAATTGAAATATCTATCCATTTCGCGGAGGATAATGGAAATAAACGAAACGACGGGCGCGTAAGAAATAGATATGTACGAAATTACAATGTTTAACGTTCGATCGTTTTGAAAGGCGGTGCACGTTCAGTGGTCAGGGAATAAACATCGATCTACGTTGTCGTTCGAGCGAGTTCGATTCGCGAGGATTTCCCGATTTTATACTCGATAAGAAGTCACAGGACGACGCTACGTGTCATTGTCGATAAACGATGAAAATGCTAGACGATCGTGAAATAATATTCTATGTTATTTCGAAGAAACCGAAAATTTGCGGTCAAGCACCGACACGATCACGACGCGCCGTCAGCCGAAATACATAATCGTATCTCAAGATTGATTAGAAACCGACTAAATAGCGTAAAGATTCGAGGAACGTTGGACGAGAAAAACGCGTATGTAAGCTTTCGACGCTTTCGAACATTTACGAATGAAAAAATGTTGGCAACGTTTCGATAGAATGAAAAATCGAAGCGAAATATTCGAGTTTCGATAATTAAATGGACGAAACGATACGTTTCAGATGCGTTCGAATTAAGGGTTGATTCGAAAGAAACGTCGACGGAGCAACAGCGTAAAAACTCGGAGGAGGAGGAATCTTGTTTCAAAAGATGCATCTCCGATGACCAAACTATTCGAATTTGGAAGAAAGAAAAAAAGAACAACGAGGACGATAAGGAGGAGCAGAATAAAGCTAGTAACTGTGACAGCGTATTTAAGTCGTTAAATTTTTGGGGCGCCAATATGGTAGTGTTCGCGAACATCGTTTACATCGTTCCGTACACGATTGTAGTGACAGTGTACTTAACCGTTCTAAGGAAAAGTACACGAGCATATCACAGAGCCGTGATATGTTACAACGCGACGCAAATAGTTTTGAACGGAATCATAATCGGTATGGGTAGTTTCATTTTATGCCACGTGTCGATCCATTCGAACGTTTACACGATTCTCGGATTAACGCTCATGTTTCTCACGATATCTTCGACTTCGTGGCTGTTCGTCATTTGCATCGATATGACATTGGTGATCACGAGATTTCGATGGACATCGTCGAACAGTTCGAGTCAGCAGGAAGAAAAAGGGAAATTCGTTACGTACGCCGGTTGGACGTGGGGCAGTTCATTGCTGGTAACGGCTGTAGCCGGAGTCGCGGATTTGTCCCCGTTGCTACCGATATCGTCTCCGGTCAGGCCAAATTTCAACCGATTCGACAACGGTCCGAATTTCGCCGCTATTATTTACGTAACGACCATTCCTTTTTTAACGTGCATCGCGAACACCGTTCTTTTCTGTTACACTTCCTATAAAATGATACTAATACAAAAGGCGACGAGACTAGCGACCGAAAACAGTAGCTTCAAAACGAGTACGATGAAAACGCGATATTTCATTTTCGTGAAGCTTTATCTTCTTATGGATGCACCGTGGTTCACCAGCGCGTTGGCTGCAGTCTTCCCCGATCTCTGGCTACTGAAATTTCTACGAATGATTCAACCGATTCTTATGCTATGCGCTATTTTACCGCCGGGAACGATGTCTCGCGGATTCGTGACTGTCCGTTCGTTTTTCAAACCGAAGCGCGACTTTCAAATCGATCAAGTACCACCGTCTCCCTAGATCTCTCCTATTCGTCATTCTTCTTCTGCTTCGTCGTCTTTAATTCGAAAATCTATCCATCTTAGCTGCCTAAGCGATAGATGAGAGATCGAGGATTAATCGTGTCGTTGTACGCGTGACGCTGTTGATGGCTGGTGGCTGGTGGAGGACGATCAACGGGTAACGAGCAACGAGCAACAGGCAAAGTGCAACGACAACTCGCGGCCAACAACCTATGATGCACCAAGTACCCGAAGCTCGGCTCTTTATACTATCTACCGGAGAGAAAATCCCTACTACTCCGGTCCATGCTAGGAACTCGTACTATGTACGAGTTTGATGCCGGCGCACAGTTCGTGGGGATCGAAAGGACGCGTTACTAGCGATCGTCCAATTTTGCGCACACGCGTCTACACCCATACGCGCTACTATAGACGGCTTAGATCATACTAGATACAATAAAGTTACGCAAAACAGACAGCTCGGTATCACGCGATTCCTTGAGCTACTCCTAGAGTTACGTGACCCATATAGACGAATCGCAGGATCGACGTTAAGATTTCGTTACTCAATGTCGCAATGATACCAATTATATTAGTTCACCTTAGTATCGGTTAACTCGCGATCTTGTGCCTGCAAACTGTCCCACCGTGTATTATATTTCTCCATACACGGTTTCGTAATTTTACCATAATTAGGACAACGGAATTCGATATTTTATCACGGAATACGCTTTTCTTTTTTATCTATCGATCAAACGTTCGATCTCTCAAGGTTGTTATCCGAACGTCGCGTCGTCTTCCGTAAAAATATTTACAACATTTTTCACCGCTGCCACTTTTACCATCTTGCTACGAAACGTATGTGATTCTTTTACGCTGTTGCAAAATATAATCGATTACTTGTACACTTTATGCGTTATTTTCTTCTCTCTACTACGCATCCCGATCGAAATCAGGAACTCCAGCCTCGTTTCGCTTAAAGATACGCGATGAAAAATCAGTTCTAGGCATATCGTTGGTTGGACTATTCATTCGAGTCCTTCGAAACTGTCTCGAACATTGTAACGATCGTTGGTTAACCGTTAAATTTGAAAACTCTTACGAAATGCGAGCATAAATTGATTTAGCACGGCAGGAAAGAAAAGATTCTCCTTTAAAACGATAGATCGGAAAATAAATGTTCGATCCGCTGTAATTATGTCGTAGTTATGTGCCCATTTGTTAATACGTTCAACGACGGGTTAATGTACAACGTACGTGTACCCGTACACGTATATTGTCATATTTTGCGGATGCATAGATGCATGGATACATAGACAGATACATAAAGAATGAGTCGGATACATAAAGAATGAGAGCGTTAGAACGTCATGTAGGTGTGAGATGCGGTGGGGTGACGGTGTCACCGAAGAAAAGTCGAGGGAGGGGTCAACCGATGGCAATCGGTATAAAATCCACGCTAGCGAAATGCTAGGACACGCAGTCGTTGGAGAAGAAGCATCGAAACGATATTCGCCATTTCATCGATATGGATTGTAAAGTAAATATTTATTTATGCTTCTGTTCAACATCGATCTAGTATCGAGGCCGATACGTACGATTTTCGTTATTCTCGCGGAAGGTTAACTGGCTTCGAAGCCAGGAACGTAGAAAGAGGAGAAAAGATTTTGTACGGTCAATAATGTCTCGTTTTATTTCTACAGATTATCAGTGTTCTGGTCACTTTCCTCGCCGTAGCCCGTGCAGGAATAATCGGGTCAAACGCGGGACTAATTGCTCCTGCCGCAACCACGGTAGCAGCAGCTCTTCCACCGGCTGCAGTCGTCAGAACTGAAAATTACGATCCAAATCCTCAATACAGTTTCAGTTACAGCGTTGCCGACGGTCTCACTGGTACGTACTCGGTGGTATCGTTTTGCTGTCGCGATTCGGTATAAGCGAAAGAAACGGAAGAAGGTTTACGGTATATTTACAGGCGACAACAAGGCGCAAGAGGAAACTCGCAACGGCGACGTCGTTCAGGGTAGTTACAGTTTAATCGAGCCAGATGGTTCCCGACGAGTGGTGTCTTACGCGGCCGATCCCATAAACGGTTTCAACGCTATCGTTCAGAAGGACCCCAGCATCACGGTGAAGACCGCGGTCGCCGCTGCACCGGTGCGTCCCGTGGTCG